GCGAAAATTGTGAAAGGGCGCTGCGGGTTTATGGGTGAAATTTTACGGTTTTTACCCCAGCAGACGCCGCGGCGTTTGGAATTCAACGCTGGCGTTTTATTAGGAGTCCCTTATTGTCTTCGATAAAAATTTCGGGGAGACGCGGGGTAGCTCGCCGCGTTTACGGCTCGGTAATAAAGCGCGCAGTAAAACTGCCGTGATTTGGCGGTTGATGATGGTGACGTTGCGAGCGACTGGCTTTCTTCCCGCGGCCGATGGGTTCGTCTGTAGTGCACGCCGTATGACCTGTTAATTGTAAAGGTCTATTGTCGTCTGTGTGCGGAGTTTTGAACGTAACTTTTATTTTATTCCGTTACCGTATTTGTTAACTTAACACTCAAAATGGGTATTTGTATGTAGGACGTTATTGTGCCATGAATTGAATCGGCTATAAGTCAATGTACAATTTCTCAGTGTAAATTTTCTTACGTCATTTTAATTTTTTATGAAAATATCGATTTCATTTGAACCATCTTAAATAGAGTTAAGGTGTTAGATATTCGTTTTTTTTTAATTACACTACAAATTATGTATATTAAAATTATGTAAAATTATAATAGTAACTATACGTAGTTTACGTATAGTTACTATTATAATTTTCAAGCTTCACTATATAAGACAAGAGTAAATTAGATGTTAATATTTCCTTTGGTTTTGTTGTCATTTGATTGTTTTATCAGAGTTTTTCGACTACGTTGTGAAATACCGGGATATTTATAGTAATTAATAATTCTAGCATGAACGTAAAAAGAAAAATTTACTTATTTCTACTCTACAATAAGATTTTTCTAGGATGCAACCTTTATATGCTTGAAAAGAAAGAAAAAAGTGATATCTATGGTCTATGAAATCTACTTTACCATTAAATAAGCCGGTGCAAGTTTGCATCAATTTTAGAAATATATTCGCTCAATGCAGCCGTCAATTCTAAGCTTAATACATTATTAGTGCAATATCCTCGTCCATTCTAGTAACTAAACTCCTGAGCCGAGGTAGCACCATGATCGCTTCGTAATGTTCTACTAATCTGTATAAATTACAAGATGGCGGCGGAATCGGGCGCTAATTCTGACAAAGTTGGCGCAAAACCGCCGTTCGTTCATTCCCAACGAATGAATGGACTTTATTCGCCAGCAGAATTGTTTCTTGTTCGATCCCCACGCTATGGGATTTAGTGAGTTGTACGATATTGAGTTAAGAAGGTTTATCTGACAATATTACATTACGTGGCTAGGGACTCAATAGACGTTGACTTGTGGTGGCGGGCTTATCTTATCATTTACGGGCCAAATATTTTTAGTGTACGTATTTATGGTTTTAGTGCAGTATTCCACCACTGTTTTAAACTTTGGTTAACTGATTACATCTTATTTCGGGCGATATATATTAAATTAAATCAATAATTCATTTTTAATTACATTTCTGTGGTAAATATGACAGGATATTAAAAAATCCAGTGTATTCACTGCAATGTATTTAAAAAATGTTGTTTAAATTTTATAGCTTCGCGGTATAAAGTAAGCGGGTGAAATAAATTTGAACGCTCCATCCGAATAAATTGCAGCCTGCCAGTAACTACGGCTAATCTGCGTCTGGACATTTCGATGCTATTAAATTTAAGTAGGCGTCGTCTTTCGAATACACTTTTTTTATGCTGTTTATTATGACGTAGACTTCATTTAAAACCTATTTAAGTTCTGGTTTGCATCACATTTGATTAGATTTATATTTCCAATATATATGAGATTTAAATACATTTCAAGCTATTCTCATTTTGAAAGCGTCAAGATTTGTTTTTAAACTCAATTCACTGCCAATCGACGGTGGGGGTCACGTGATGGATTATGTCCTACTACCCAATATATAAAGGAGACCTTTTCCCAGCAGTGGGATATATAAAGTATAATTAAATTAAAGTAAAGTAAGCTCAGTCGTGATAGCTGAATTCATATACTGGTGCTGGTGCTGGTGCTGGCATCTATAAAATTGTTAATTTTAGCGCTGACTTATCTGTATATTTTCAAAATAATAGAATAAACATTTCGAAGATATGTGAAGTCCGCCAATTCGTGTTAGACTATGCGCTAATACCCTCTGCACAGAGGAGGCCTTTGGCTTTGGAGTAGTGGGACATTTATAGGCTGTTACTCAACTTTTTTGAATTAAATTATATAGACTGTAAGTTTACTTTAATTTTATACATTTAATGCGTCGATATCCCGGTAAATAATATGTGTATCACTAACTTACTACCAACTATTAACATGTCTTTAAACAGAGAGCCATTTAACATTTGTAAGCATTTACTGGATATTTATCCTTGCGTTCGTCACTTCAATGCGGTTACGGAGGCTGTAACGATTGTAGCTTAGGTATCGCTGAAGTGCGTCGGATCAACTTGAGCGACTTCAAATCCTGAGATATCGCCTCGGCTTTAGACGCTTTTCAACACGTCATCTGTTGTGGTACAAATCAACACAGGTAGCGTTACTGGGCGTGGAAGCATTTCTTATCCCGTTTCCATTTTCTTAAGTATAATCATTACTACTTTGGCAATGTTATTACCTTTAATAACACTATCAAGGTAAGTGTCTTTTTGTGTTGTGAGGGTTTCCCATACATAGACTCCCGCTGCTTTTGTACAGGATTCAGCATGTTTTAGGATCCTGCGATCGTCTGTTTTTCAAAATCGCTGGTAACTTAAAGCCGTTCCTTATCGTCACCCGTATAATGTAGATTGATTCGACCCGGCTTCGTTGTGACAAATTCGATTTGTGTCGAAGCAACGCGAGATTCGACGGCGTGAAAAATATGCCAGATTTCGCGATGGGAGCTTGCGGGATAACGGGTTTAGATATTTTTTGAAACATCTATTTAGTTAAATCGAAGTCGTTTTGTATGTAAGTTGAATATTGGAGATTTGTATTCATTCTTTTTATAACGAAATGGACAGTACTCGGCTATGGTTTTCCCATCTGGCATTCTGACGTTGAATATGCAAGTTGACATGACTATGGGACCACTTATAGAGATCATGTGTTTGCATAAATTACAGGTCTGGGGCTTTTTTATTGTTAGATTTTAATTGATACTTAATATATTGCATATATAGAACACATAGCTAACACGCTCCTTTACTAGTATTTAATATAAAGTAATTACTTTTTAGCTAATTTATTTTTAGTAATTTTTTTAAGCTATTAGTAATTACTTTTTTGTGTACCGTACTGGCCAACTCTTCATTGAAAAGAAATTAATCACTACCACCCAAGAATGTTCCAACAACTTATCATTTGCTTTATCTTTTAAAGTACAAAAAATTTAATCACACTATATAGTGGACCGTTGAACGCACGATGTTTTTCGCTTTAAGATGATCCTACGCCAGTTTAAAAACAATTTATCGAAAAAAAAAAAATCACTACATAGTATAAAACAAAGTCGTCCCGTTGTCTGTCTGTCCCTGTGTATGCTTGGATCTTTACGGCTACGCAACGGATCTTGATGCGGTTTTTATTTACTAGATGGAGTGATTCGAGAGGAAGGTTATTTATTATTATAACATCTATAATAATACACTATACCCGTGCGAAGCCGGGGCGGGTCGCTAGTATTAAATAATAAATACTTAATTAAATAATTCTTAGTATATATTTTATTATTTTTTTTAAAAACAATGCCCTTACAGGTGACTTCGCTCTTCCATAGCTGATTATATAAAATAGTTTGGCATCTGCGCTACAGAGTCATGAATTAGATATCCGTTGCCGTCCGCGTCCTTTCCACAAATCTCTTTTTATGGTGGGATAAGGAGCATGTGTCATTCTTTAAACTATGAAAAAATCACAACGATCCGTTGCTTCATTGTTGCGTGAGTTAACCAACACATTTTAACTGCGTTTCTCTCGGTTCATCAAATTGGCTATAGCTGGTTTTTGCTGCTCTTATTTAGAAGATATGCTTGTGAACTTGCGTGAAGATATGTACGCAATATGTCGACACACGTTTATCTTCGCATCGCTAACGAATCGATCCGATCGCACTGGCTGCCAGCCTTATTTATTTGCGCCACGTATCCCGTTATCGTGTAAAGTTCGCCAGTTGCGTTTTTAGAGGACCTAAACTTGGCTCGCGTCCCTACACCGTCTGAGTTATTCCGCTTGTGAGCTTAAAGAGGGTATTTAAATGTTTCGCGTAATAAACGATCCCTGTTGCTGGAACCGGAGTTGCAGTTGGCGTTATTTATTGTCCCATGTTGAACCGTTTGGGATAACGAAGTGACTCTACCCGTTTCATGTACTCCCGGTTAGTGAGTATGTGTTCAGTCAGTATTTATCTTATTTGGGACTGTATTTCTTCATGTTCCATTGACTTGGTGAACTAAGCTTCGTTGTCTTTAATACTTTTTAATTGCCTCGATAAACGTTCTACTTATTTTGTGCACAATTTTTCAACAATTCTGTTATTTTGTTAGTGTGTGCGTGCGTGCGTGTGATCGTGCTTACGTGCGTGATTGCATTTTGGATATTGTAACAGATTGGGAATACAAATGAAAAATTAATTTATCATGTATCAATCCATGTGGATACAATCAATGAGTATTGTTTTATTTTTACACTCAATTTACGCTCAATTGTCAGAGGAGATAATGATTAATAACCTATGCCCAATATTACGTTATTATCTAAATTTGTAAATAATCAAATGGGCCGAATCGTTAAAATTCCGAAAAAAAAAAAAAACTTTCTTTTCTGTGCTCGCAAATATAACCGTGTAACTAACTGTAGCAGACACGGCGCTCGCATTTCTGTCTTATCCCTGTCATTTCGGAAAGTCACAAAGTCACGCGTTGTTATTATTTCCCAACATATTTCTTGGCCGCGACGCCTCATTCTTTCGGTCGTAGTGAACGGGATCCGATAACGGAGCGTTACGCTCAACCGCCGTTGCGTTAGAGGCTATTCTCGCTCGCGCGTCGTCACAGCGAAAGTTACGCACTGTTTTGTCTTCGAGTCACGTGCCGGGTTCGTTTCGTCCGACGGGCCGTTATTGCGTCGCGCTACGTACAGTGGCGTTGTCTGCATTATTAAATATTTGCGATCATTAGCGGAGACGGGGATCAGGGGATATCCGTTCGTCGGATTTATCGTCGGCCCGCACGGTCCAAACTTGATATGGAGTGAGAATGGGCGGCGTGGTGTTAACGGCGACATACTGCTCGAGAAATACGGCCGAAATAAGTTTCTGTATACGATACAGTCGTGCTCTTACCCTCGTTTATTGTGACTTTCACTTTTCGTTATCAAACGTTAAACAACATTTATGGTTAATACTAGATGTTTGTGTGTTATTGTGTCATTTTCTTTGTGAAATTACAATGGCTAGTTTTGGGTGAGATTTGAAATTGAGTTAATATTTTTACTGATATTTCATCATAAGTCTTGGTGCGTCTTAATTAGATTTAAGACTTTAAGAAGCATATATATATATATATATATATATATATATATATATATGTAATACCACCGTAATATGTATAATAATGTCGGACTACATATATAATATATAATACTCGTAAAGTTCGTAAATAACTAAAGCAATTGTTCATATGTATTGTTACCTTGCTTACGAATAAGGTTTGGATAAAAGAGGCCACGACTTTTTATCTATTCCGTGGTTACGTATATTACAGATTCCCTTATTTCCGGCCGATTGAACTTTTGCCTTTTCTCACGTACAAACTGGAGGCGTATTCCGTACTCCATAAACGAGCCCTTTGTTCTAATTTATTATATTAATTCACAAGTAGCTTACTCACACCGTTAAAGTTAAAACACGCAATCGTATTAGTTAGTTAAGAACGTTTTTAAAGCGTTATCATTTTTTTAAACATTGCCCTTAATTTAGAATAAAATTTTCCCGTGTTGTAAGGACGTTTTACGAGTATAAACAAAAATTTCAAGTGGAAAAACATCCATAGTTGTCCCGCGTGGGGATCGCACCCACGACCTCCAACGACGAAGTCAATACCTTGACAAATGCGCCACGGAGTCATCAAGTCATTTTGGTAACAAACTATTTATAATTCTTTTCACTTTCAACCGACTTCAAAAAGGAGTTCCTTAATTCGGTGTATTTTATTTTTATGTTTGTTACCTCAGAATTCCGTCATTTATGAAACGATTTTAAAAATTATTTTCCATGAACTATGTTTGGCTCCCAAGTGATGTCCCGATTAGTGGAATTTCATTGATATTGTACTTTGGCCGATTTTAAACGTTCTTTTGCATTTTTAGTTTAGCTTCCATATGATCCAATATATAAATTTAATTGATAACTTGGAGACTCCTAGAGACCCCTCAAATAGAAACCGTACATTGAAGTCTGTTTCGTTTTGTGTTAGTAAAAATTTACGTGTTACCACTAATCTTTGAACTTAATATAAAACAAACGTTATGGAAAAATTATTCGCCTTTACCAAGATTCAAACCTGCGCCTGCCAAGTAACGCACCAACTATAAAAGCTTCGTTTGGAACTTTTTTAATTCGTCAACAACTTTTAGTTTTACGATTATTGATGTTAGTAAATACAGTTGGTACTTAATGCTTTATTCATAATGTTTTGTTATTTATATTATTTATATTATTTAAGATGTTTTGTCTTAAAGCCTAATTTGATTGTGTGATCAGTGAAATATTTAAAATGTTTACATTTTGTGCAGTATTTTACTAATAGTAAGAAGCTTTAAATTAGAGAACTTTTCATTTCTGTCGTGTGCAGCACAAACCCATCTTTTGTTTAGCTTTTGGCTAATGAAGTAATGATGAATGAAGCGGACAATAGTTTAGTATGGTGTGACCCGTTCTTGTTGAAATCCTTTGGAGATCTCTGGGTATGCTAGGGTATCTCTGGGTATCCCATACGATTTCTTGCGGAATACGTTTCCAGTGCATGTAAAACAAAATATTTAGCCCTGAGATGGTCTGTAGTCTGCTGCATTTATTTCACTCGGCGCTTCACAACGTCCAAACATGCTCCATGGGATCGAGTGTACAAATAATCAATGTAATAATACGTTTATGTATCGCATTTAAATCCTTCGATTTAACCTAATACCTACGATACGGCTGAAACCTATGAATAAATAATGACAATTCAAAATTTCCAACGTCCCCAAGGTTGGAACGAAATCTTTCCTGGCACAAAACTTTTTTACCCGGCTCGAAGGACCAACTTTCCCCCGTTAAGAGGGGGCGCTATTATCTTTCATTTCGCCAGTAATTTAACATTCACCGTACGCTGCGGGAGAGTCATGCTATCAAACGGCGTTTTACCCTCCTTTTCGGGGGTGACAACTTTTTACTTGGAAATCTCCCAATAATTTGCCAAAGTGGCAGCTGTTTAGGCTCTACGATTATCGGGCTCTAAAAAGATTTCGGCTCTCCGTGATAGCTGAAGGGGTCGCGGTATTACCTTGGAAATTCGATTGCGACCGGCGGATAATGTTTTGGTTTCTCCAATGTATGTAGTTTAGAGTGTATACTTTTTTTATGAACGAAAATTTCAGTTTGTCTGAAATCAATAACAGATGCACAAACAAAGTAATTCAGCATTTATATTTAACGACAATAACTCTTTGACGTAGACATAAATTGCTGCATTGATTGAACATAGCAGATTTCATGTGTACATTTTATGTACAGGTGTAAATATACAAATAAAGGATTGGTTAAATTTGGCGCAAGCCCTATGTCTCTTACGTTAGAGTAGAATTAACATTTTGTAGAAGTATTCGATCAATAAACAGAAACCTGAAATTTCTGATCGAACTGTAAAAAAAATCTCAAATCAATTCTAAGATAACATTAACTTGGGAATTGACACCTAACGATACTGAACGTTAGTCCTGTAACAACTTAGACCTTATTAATTATGTAATGAATGATAGAGGCTTCGGTGAATTTCATTTGACGGACGTTCTGTTACGAATGAAGTAATATTTACTAATCCCACAGCACTTGCCGAATTCGCTTCGCTGCGAATGAACCGACTTAATTGAAATTTTCGTTTCGATAGTTGCGTGGCAGTTCACGTTAACGGATTCACAAAACGGATACCGGTTAAAACATCCGTGAACTTTACGCGATAGATTTAAGGTCGATAGTTGAATGTTCATATAGTGACGATCAATGTTAAGTTGCCTGTAAAATGCAATATTGTACAGTTCGATTTCAAGGGAATTGTGCAGAGTTCATTTACTTCGTATATATGTATGATCATCTAAAGAAAAATATATTTTTACCACTATATGGTTATAATTATTGCAGAGCTCCTTGTGTAACCCCATCTAGTAATTATAAAGGTTTTCTGAATGTAGTTTCGGAAGTGTTTTTTTTATTATAAGATGTTATTTAATTTATAGCAATTTTCCCTCCGGATATGTAATGCTTTTAAGGACCTTTCACTAATGATTCATTAGGAATGTAAAGAAAAACGGCGTAGCGGTATGATAGAACAATTTATTATTAAACTAATACGAACGCATAGTAGAATTTAGGATATATATTTATAATATTACAATGGTATAATAACAAAACATTGATAATATAAAGCGATAACTAAGTTCACCAACATTCAATAAAGCCACAGTGATTGCAATTGAGTTATGTACAAACGGACACGCCGACTTCGCAATATTGAACGTTATTAGTTATAATTTCAAAAACATTAAAGCTATGAAGATCATGGCCAACGACACAACATTCTTACTCCTAAAACATATATATCATAATAAAATCACCGATTGATAAGTCCACATCAATCCGAATATGAGCCGTCAGTTAAAGATTTTTGTTAGATTTTATAAAAAAAATGTTCCAATCGTATTGAGAACCTCCTCCTTTTTGAAGTCGGTTAAAATAAAATTACATCCCCTACATACATTATACACCTCTTTTATGAACGATGTGTTTTTTCTTTTTAATTATTTGTTGATGTATCCAAACGGGTAACAGAAATGTCAAAGTAGTGAGGTTGTCGATAGTCAATGTTTAACATAACGAAAATATGGCAAAACCTCCTAGAAATGAGGCCACTGACTAGGAAGACAAAGGAAGACTATTTGTTTGCGTTTGTTATTATATTATTTAGATATTCACGATTATAGCAAAGCTATTTTAAAGTTTTATACATTTATAAAATGAACGAGTAAAGATCTATAAAAGTATAAAATGAGCAAACCCAACGGTTGAGAGGCATTAAATGACACGTCTGTATGTACAAAATTGTCAAAAGACGTCCGTTTTATATAATTAGACTTAAGTTAAGAGCACGGAACTAGAAGCTTTCGTTGGGATTAGAAAAATACAGTGGTAACCTCATTGGATTAGCGCCAAGCCTTTGTTGTATAAATACGAGTACATCTAGAGTACAAAAGCAGTCTCCAGAATAAATTCGTTAACGTAGCTTAACGGTACAAACTATATAGAAGTTGAAATATCAAAAGTACAACTTTGAACTTTTCCTAGTCGGTTATATTTCTCCGAGGTTAGAAGTCGCTTATTTCTGGATCGGTGTCGGCATATTTACAAGTGAAGGGGTTCCTCAGCCACGAGCAGAAAGATCGGTCGCTGTGCTGTTTGTATTTTGCCGTCGTATGTTTCTTAGCGTGTGCTCTAGCGACGGCAGCGCGTCGTGTTGGATAAGAGTCTAAGGAAGAAGCATCGGAGTCTCTAGGCACTGAATCATAGCCAGATTCTGCACGTCTTGATGTGGCAGCTGGGCTATGTTTACCAGTTCTAGGCGTTGATTCATGTCCACTGTCGTAACCGTCCGGTTTCGAGCTTGCAACCACCCTGGCGACGACTTTGTCGCCTTTCTCGCATTTCTCTATCCGCGGCTCCGTTGTTACTACCGGCGGTGAGACTTCGAGATGTAAATTGGATTTCAAATCTCTGAATGTACTCGAAGGCGCCCCATTTCCGGGAACTCGTTTCTCCTCCCTCAAATTTGGATCGGATGCCCCATCAGGGTGCCTCAACGATGCAATTCTGGCGTCGGTGATATCGTTACCTCGATATCTTTCAAACGGCCCATAGTCGTTGTGCGGTACGTCTAAATCTTGATATGCACATTCGTCTACCGCACTCCCCGGCCTCGACATGGAACGTTTGCAACTATTACATATTTTGTCACTAGGTCTATAAGCAGGTTCACTATAAACAGATCCGTCCCCATGAAAATCTTCCGTGTCTCGAACATTGCACAAAGACAATGACTGAAATTGTGGAACAATTCTAGGGTTACAATCGTTGTTTTCATCTAACATTCTACGCGAGCCGTACAATTCTGTCAACCCTAATATATCGTCAACTCTAGATCGAGAGGATTGTAAGCTTTCATGGGGATTTATATCAACTAATGGCTGTTCGCCGCAAAAATTCTCGGCATAAAAGCCTAACTGTCTTAGATATGATTCGTTTCTAATTTGTCTCTCTACTTCGCTATATAAAGAGAGAGTGTCTGTGAACGTTGAAGCTACTGTAAGATTCTCCTGGCTGAGTATCCTCAGTGGATGATCATCTCCATCTTCTTGATCCACTTCTGGTAGGGGATTTTCCGCGAAGCCCATGCAGAAAGCGATATCCTCCTCTGTTACTTGTAGACAACTGTCCTGCATTGGCACTGGTTCTAGCGGCTCCTCTACTTCAATTATCTCCAACATGTCGTCATCATCATCACATTTGCCCATACGATGCGTATTGATATCCCTGCTGCGGTTAGAAATTAGTTCATCTTCCATTCTTAACCTTTCTTTGTATTTAGAATCTAAGCTCTCCACTGAAACTTCCCTACTACTTAAGCTACTAGGTTGAATTAATGGTAGTGCTGGAGGCATTTCTGTCATTTCCTCACTGTCATCATCGTCATCAATTTCGTTTTTATTTACAGACTTAGAACTACTTGATCTTCTTGACATGTGATCTGTATAGGAAGATCCTATATTCTCCTCTTCTATGGTCATACCTTTGCTACCTGCCTTCAAGCCGGTTCTTATTGTTGATTCTTCAACGTGTATACGCCTTGACGTATCTTTCATTAACTCCATTTTGTGCGGTATTTCGGGTTCATCAGGCATTCTAAGACCTGGATCTCTATGGCCGGGTTGAACTTTGTGACTAGGCGAACTATGTCTCGATTTATGTATTTGAGAAGTTTGATTCTCCACCCATTTCCTAATCATATTTTTTTTATGATTGTCCATGTACCCATACCCAAGACTTTCGTTTCCATGCGAACTTAACACCCCAACCTGTAGAGGTACTGCACCAGCAGGTACTGGTACGGATTCAAATTGCAGAGGAGTTTTGCTCTCTTGCATTGGCCCGTCTATCCATGTCTCACGTTTCTTACCTTGTGTTTCTTGAATAATATGTCGTGCTTCAACTAACCTCGACTTTGATATTCTTGGGCCGTCAATCCATTGTTCATCGCTCGTGCTTACCTTACCTTCCTCCGAGAAAGATTTGACGCAAGTTTTTTTCATGGGGGTGGTTTTTGTGTTTGCTGAATGCACGGGGGATGATTTTGGCGTTTGGATACTTGGTGGTAATCCTGTCTTCATTGGGGACGACTTCGGGGACGAATGTAATTTATGTATTGGGCTCTTCTCCTCTACAACTTTCGATAGAGATGATCTATGTTTTTGTTCGGGCGCCGATCCTCGTAAGGTTTTGCTTAACACGCTTCTTATATCTCCAGAGTTTATATGTGGTATGTAAACTGGGGGATGTTCTCCATCAGTTGCATCGTCCATAGGCCCAACGTAGATAACGGTGTCTGCCGACAAATCACTGCTCGAGGGATCTGGCTCACTGCTACTGGGTTTTGAAGCGTCCTCACCGGAACTACCACCGGAGCCCGCGTTATTATTAGAGGAATATTTCATTTTTCTTCGCCTTAGTCTATGTATTCTTGATGCTAACTGCAGTGTTGTAAGAGTGTCGGAATAATTTTGTATATTCGGTGAAACGTGTACAATCATCGCGGTGTGGCATGTCAAAGATCCAAGACACTCCTTGAGGACGTGCGTTAGATTGTGATCACGGTACGGTAAGTGGCGTTGCCCGTTAAATATGGCCAGTAAAATGTTCCCGAGGCCTGATAAAGGTATGCCTCCGTTGGCTTTCCCTCTTTCGGAGTTGCCCAAGTCGATGAGGTGTAAACGGCTCCGGCCACCAGCAACTGAAAATAAAGAGAGAGGTTAGACGAGTATCACAAATATTTTCGATAGTCAAATAGTGTTAACTGTTCTATATAACAAACAACACTCGATCAAACTCTTTAAAACGCCGATTTTAGCTGAATTTAGTTAGTTGGTGTTTCTTGTTATACAATGTTATACAGCATCATGCTCGCTCTAAATAACGACAACTTTATGATTTTATAAAACTATTAAGAATTACACCTGTGTAAATTTGACACTACTTACTTAACATAATACTACTTTATTCTATATATGAGTAAAATACATAGGAAACTACAATTAAAATACTGGAGCAGCCAAAAACATCCAAAGATCATAGATTACATACAATAAGCGTTATTATTTGTATAATTATTAATTTTTGTCGTTTGTAAAATTTGTTGGTAATAAATGTTGGTAAATAAATATTAGAATATTAAATTACTTTTATTTTCTGTCCATTTAACGATAACACTACAACGTCAAAAAAGGCACAATCCCTCAAGTGTCGTTATAGAGAGTTAACACTGTGTTACAATATCGAATAAGATTTCATTCGAGATGCTCACCAGCTCCTTTCCCCCCAACGCTGTATTGGTAAACATGAAGCGTGTACAGCAGATGGCTGTCCCTCCCTTCTTCCTTGGCCCCCTTCGTGGCTAAAGCTGCATCCAGATAGAACGCCGCCTTTTCAGCGCTGTGCACCCGCAGTTCCGATTGGTTTTGTAGATGCGTGCCGAAGAGGGGATCGTCTCGTAAGTACACTCCCGGTGATTGTTCAGTGTCTGTTAACAGAACAGAAGAAGCGTGTAATTCTTGTGGATATATACAGGTAAAGTAAAGTAAAGTAACAGCCTATATATGTCCCATTGCTGGGCAAAGGCCTCCTCTGTAAAGAGGGTATTAGGGTTCACCACGCGGCCCAACTGCGGATTGGCGAACTTCGCATATCTTCGAAATATTTCTTTTTTATTCAATCACTCATATTTTTTTTTAATTTACTCACGATGTTTTCCTTCACCAGTGAACACGTGATAAATCAGAACTTAAAATTAACAATTTCATTGGTTTTCGGGATCGAACTCAGGTTGCTCGAGTATATTGAATGAAAGACGAGCGCCCGGTCAATGAGCTATCATGGCTACATATACAGATGAAATATCTTAAATGTATACTTCAATCTTATTGTGGCGTTTTCAATAGAAGCCTGCATAATATCAGTCTGTCTTTTCATGGTAGAATCGTATTCTTGTACAATATTGTGTCCATGTTTACGAAAATTCTTCGCTTCTATTACACTTACACGAAATCTTTGAAGTAATATTTGGGTTTTACCATTTTGGTAGGGCGCAAGTAGGTCCCGTATCTGGTTTGTATTGGTGCAGAGCTCCACCGCGGACACCCTGATGGAGAAGCGGGTGCCGCACTTGTGCCTCTGCTCAGCTATGCCTCTGAAGAGCCAGGTGATGGCGCAGGGTATGGCCCCCAAAGACGCTGCCGAGTCCGGTCGCCCCAACATTGTGTACGACTTGCCTGGATAAATAATGAAATAAATCGATATAAAGATCCGATAGACGTTTTAAACTTTAAGATTTTATTATATGAAAAGATGGTCTTCCGCATAAGAACTTCTCACATAAAAAATGGCAATCTAGCTGGCGCTTCATCTGATGTTAAATGATAACCATTACCCATAGAATATCTGTACAATAATTTTGAAGATTTTTTTTATCTTTATGCATTATAAATGTAGAACACATGTATGTACATTGTAGAACCTATTACGAATCTATGAAGAACGTCAAAGAATTGAAATTATTGAAGCCTAAACGGTGTCAATTAAAAAAAAAATACTTGGGATTATAGGTAAAGCTCAAAAAGATGTTATCGGTAATACCGAGAACTTGGTTGAAGATGGTCGCTTTGCAACCAATTTCATCATCATTTGGCTGTGCGAGCGCATTGTAAAAACTTCACTCTAATATTATTTTCCAAAAGCGCCAAAAGAAGCATAGCTTCAAAAATCATCGAAGCGTATCGGATGTAGGCCATATTGCTACAACTTAGGTGGCATGTGCGAAGGTAAATAAAATTTGGCACGAATTATTCACTCAGCAGGCATCTCTGAAATAAGCGGGGTGTTGCATTAAGCCCGGTTTCGGCGTTTCCAGCCGCGTTCGCCCCGAAAGTCTCATTTAGCCAGAGCTCTCATTCAATTTGCATTTAAAACCGTAATCCTCGAGGTAGGGGTAAGACTTAAGACGCCCGTGAAGCCGCTTCTTAGTTATTAAACCGTGTTGATAGGTGAGTCTCAGTCAGTGTGATGTGTAGGTAATTGATTTAGCACGGCAACTAATTTCGGCTTCAAAAGGAAGCTATCAAATCTACAGACGCCAGTAGAAATATTTTTGTAACAGTGACAGTATATATGTTTTTTTTAAAATTATGATTAGCCAGAACACGTCGAATATTGAACATCGTAGTTCCCACAGCGAACGAAATTTCGCTTACATTTTAATTAAGCTTCATTGCCGTCAATAAATCAGAGATTTGAGACGCTCAACTTGTAAAAATTTAAAATAATTAGGGTATGATTAGGCAATAAAATTATCGATAGTTAATTTAGTGTCGATATCAATTGAGATTACTAAAACTAATTTTATGTGTGTATTGAAAAGTAAAAGAGTAAAAAAAGTATCAGCCTATACGTGTCCTACTGCTGGGCAAAGGCCTTCTCTGTACAGAGGGTATAAAGGAATAGTCCACCACGCGGCCCTACTGCGAATTGGCGGACTTCACATATCTTCGAAATATTTTTTTTTGTTATTATTTCGAAAATTTGCAGGTTTTCTCACGATGTTTTCCTTCACCGCAGAGCACGTGATAATTCAGCACTTAAAGTTTACAATTTCATTGGTACTGGCACCAGGGATCATACTCAGGTTGCTCGAGTATATTGAATTAAGGCGAGCGCCCGGACACTGAACTATCACGGCTACTGTATTGAAAAAAAAAAAAACCACTATAATAGCATAAAACCGTAGACAAGCCTACTGTATCGCCTGCCTTAATCGCTAATAAATGGTTCTATTTGCGAAATTTGTTTTAATCTATTCGTTTTCCCTGTATTGACCGTCACATTCTGTCACCCCGTAGACTTTTGTCGCGTAACCATTTAACATTTCTCATTGCAGACTCTGTTTCGGATAAATAAGGTAATTTCACGGCGCCTTTATAATTAAACGCGCACTCGCAGAGTCGGACCGGCGAATGCGATATGTGAGACCGCATCGCACCTTGAGAGTGTTTATCAAACTTTCAATTAAGGCCCGGAGCGGCGTTCCCATTTGAATGTAAATAACGCAGCGGGCGTAGTCCGGGAAAAGTTCCGCCGAGTCTGATAAACAGTTGAAAGGGTGAAGATTTCAACGAACGAATGGCACGAATGATAAACGAACAAAAGTAAACTAACGGCCTATACATATCCCACTGCTGGGCAAAGGCCTCCTCAGTACAGAGGGTAATTGCCCTGCAATGCAGATTGGCGGACTTCACATATCTTCCAAATATTTTTATATATTCGAAAATATGCAGGTTTCCTCACGATGTTTTCCTTCACAGCTGAGCATGTGATAATTCAGCACTAAAATATGTTAACTGTATACTCCTCGTGTATATTAAATTAAAGGCGAGTGCCCGTCACAGCATAAACGAATATTTTTTTTTAGTTTAAGAAAATGGCAAGCAAGCAGTACGGTTTGCTACGTCGACGAAAATCTAAACGTGGTATCACCTGTAATACTCGTATGTTATCTATTTGTTTCCTCGCGTTTAAAGCAATGCTTGGCATCACCTATTGTTATCTCATTTACAGCAAAAGAACAAGATTTTATATAAAAAAGTCACAAAAGCCCGAAAGATTTTTAGCCAAAGACATACGAAAACATAAACTTATAAATGTACACATACGTCATGTTATGATGTAATTTAATTTATGTACATATATTTATGGAAATGGCCCAACACGTAAGTCACCGACAGCCACTAAGTATGATGCGAACATAAAACAGTGCATTTAGACGGATTTACTAGCGACAATGTAGCCGTAAAGCGAACTTTTATGGTTACACCTTTACGGACTTTATATCCAACACGTTTTAGCTGATGAGATTTGCATTGAAACATAATTGGCAAGCAATATAGCTCGGTTACTTGTATCTTTCCCTGTACTCCTTGTTCTTAGGTCTTAAGGAGTGGAAATATTTGAATTAGTAGGTAAAGTAACTTAATAGGTAAGAGAGGTTCTCGAGTGGCAGCCTAGGTAGGACCTATATGACCTGTGCTAGAGTCGATGGCTGCAGTTGGCTCAGGATCGTGCTTCGAACAGTCTGTGGGGGAGTACTTTGTTTAACAGTGTACTAGAACAGACAGAAATGATGACGATGATGAAGTATTTAGAATATTTGTTATCTAACAATCAAAAGTATAGTTATCTATTAGCGGTAGAGTAGGCGGTTTTCTTATCGGTTATATTGTGCGGTTGTACGCACTATACAGACGTTGGGTGCAATTTAGGACCCTGATAAAGTCTATAACGCTTACATACTCAGCTCTTTAGTGTTAATTTTTGATGAAATAAATTTCTGAACATTAGGCCTAGTTGGCCGTAAGAACATAATTTATCTCGCTTGTTTTGCTATGAATAGGAGTAGAATCACCTTTCCCACCTTTTGATCTTCCCCACCGTGTTGTGGGAAAGACCAGCGACGCCGCTAAACCGAGACGTCTCACTTCAAAAATGAATAACTAAATAAACTCCAGCTTCCCTGCTTCCAGGTTACCTTACTTTTTCCACAGCAGGTATAGCATCGCTACAGCAAGCCCCACAGTAATGGGAATACGCTTATAATGAGTTCAGTTCCCTGGTCTGCTTTTTACTCACCTAGTCCTGCGTGTCCGAAGCAAAAGAGGCAACCGTCGGTGCCGTTAATGACGGCATGGATGACGTCAGTCAACGCGCTAGAACAAATCTCCGTCTGTAACAACAGCAAAACGCGAACACATGAAACAAGGCCCCAGAATGGTAATACAAATAAGGTTTCTCATAAATTTCTCTTATAAAATGATCATCAAAAATCATTGAGTTTATTAAGAAGACCATTTTTTAAAGAAAAATATTGGTGAACTCTACAAATTAGAATTTTCTGTAGGAACCGTCCACGAGGCAATATTAATACTTACACAAAGCTAATATTTATTAAGTTTTATTACTTAATAAGTTAACTTAATGCTTATTAAGATCAAATGAAATAAAAGAAAGTTAATATCCGTCAAAATCTTTGGATCTGTTCAGTTATTACTGGAAAACGATATTGATAACATACAAAAATGGTGGTAATTAATAATAAACGCTATATAACAAGTAACGAGCAATCGTTTATTAAACAGCAAGACCTCCAAGTTTAACGACCCAATAAAACAAGTAACAACCAACTTTCCCATGTAAATCGTGAAAAGTGAATATAGTGCCGTGAATAATTTAGGTAATCTGGCACTTATGCGCCGCTCGACGCTAAGCCGAACTAAGCAGGACTAAGCCATACTCGGTGGTGTTTTCTTTCGCGAGGATTCCCAGATAATTAAACGGACTTAAGGTACGCCCCCGGGATTAGATTGTATTATGACACCAAGTTTGGTGGTAGCCGGGACAAAACGAATAACAAAATATTAAGAGAATTTAAGGACGTTTTACATACATAAATTTCACGTGGACACCTAGATGCTAAACAACCATCTATGGGTCACACAAATAGTTGTCCCGTGTTGGAATCAAACCCACGACCGATGATACATTTTCAACTGCGCCACGGAGTCATTATCAATTGTACTTATAAGTTGCTTTTGTATATCGTTAACCAAAACTATTTTACGGATTACATCGCGTATAATTTACCAAACAGTACAATTCCTGTGATGAGCAGAAAGAATGACAACCAGTAGTATTATATCAAATAATAGTTTCTCTTATTAACGTGAATGTTACAAATTTTAATGGAACCTGTTTACGGGTTTTATCAAAGTTTATCTTAATTTAAAGCTTTAGGATTTAGTTTAAGGATTTTATCAAAGTTTATCTTAATTTAAAACTTCCAAATTACGTATATTTAACAACATTGAAGGTCAAGGGCCATTTTGAGATGTTTGGCGTTCTGATTGCAATGTCAACCCGGGTTCCTATCAGTAAAATAATTGTTTTCTATTTCGATCCAAGCGTTACCTGTATCTTGCACTGATAGAGTGCTTGGGTCTGGATTTAATTATACGATAATAGAACATATCAATAAACTACAAACCTTTCGATCAGAAGTTTAAAATTTAAATAATAAAATAAAATTCGATCGCGATAAATTGTGGAATTCAAATAATTTTGAAATTAAAAGGAACATGAAACATTTATCTGTTTCAGCTAAGTAGATATATTTCTAAAAGTGTGGTGCATTATGAAGTTTTGAGTGTTTGTCCACTTATTGCTTAATAACTTATGGACACCGTACACTGGGGCATGAGCGAGCTCTGTGGAGATATTAAAATAATTTTAAACGAGCTTTTTGATGAGACCTCTTCAGCTACTAAATTGGAAATACTCTGATACGAGGCCGAGGAAGGTAATTGAATACACAGTCCATTTATTTTAAGGAATAATCCAAGAATAATGAACAATTTTCGAATTTTATTATCTTCAAATATAATTAATTTTGGTTTCTTGAGTTTTTACGGAGTTAAATCATTGTGTTATTTTATAATATTTTCGACTTTTACTTAAACCTGCGTATAGCAGCGGTAACCTTATTTTTTTTGTCTTTCTCATATAACCAATTGCCTCACAATCATCATCAACCTCCCCCTTCCCTATCCCTCCTAGGTGGGGTAGGCACATCATGTTGTAAGCGGTTTTGGCTATATTTTTTACAAACGGCCGCCTGCCTAACACCAACTCCTCATGGGAAAAACACCCAGATCCAGAGCAACATCTGTGGGTCATGGAAATACTTTTCCCGTGTGGAAATCCAACCCACGTCCGTCTGTGCCGCAGCCAACGGCTTAGCATAGCCAACTGCTAATTTCAGTGTCAGAGTGGTGCTGCGCCTTTTTACTAAAACAACTCTCAGAACCGAAATCGTCGACGACCTTTTTACAACTTTCTGAGGGTACCAGGGAAGTTCTTAGAGCCAAGAAAGCGAACAGAACTTTTGTCCAGATATAGTTTCAGGACGGAGCATAAATTTCTAGTTTTTATTCCGAAAAAATAAACAATTCCGAACGAAGTTCCAAGCAATTACCAAAAGGTTAACACCACCCGTTAAAGATGAGAATAGAGGTTAAGTAATGGGTCATCTTTACCCATTAATTAAACTTCATTCTTATCTTAAAAAGACGACAATAAAGTGTGAATGTTGTACACGCTCCGTGTATCACAGCTTTGAAAGTCGGAAGGGCTAATAGCGATTGCACCAGCCGATAAAAGTTAAAACGCACGACGCAGGGGTAGATTTAGCGGTCATTGTGATTGGCAGCGCAGTGCGTTGGCAGTAGCGGTCCGCTTTAAGCCCCTAAGCCCCGTCGGCCAATGAGTTATTGCTGGCTAGCTCGCACCGTGTGCGTGTGTGCGTCGCGAGCGCATAAGGCGCATTATCGCCTGCAGCGGTCTACCCAATCTACTCCTGGACTGGCATGGTCGTGTCAAAACTCTACAATCGATGTAGAGCTCTATGTTCGACTCGTATGGATATTTTACTGAAAACTGAATGGTTAAGTACTTATGTCAATGGTAAGTGTTCCGTTTAGCACATAAAATTTGATATTAATTCTGTAGTGAGAGTGTCCCGTTTAGCACATTGATAATTAATTCTGCATGAACGTTAGCCTCTTTAGTATATTGTAATTATAAAAATGCTGATTTTGGTTAAGACTACATTGAGTTCGCTTAATTTGCTAACCATGTCATGATAAGGTAAACACATGCGTTGAAATAACGTTTTACTCTCAGATAAATAAAATTATAAAAATACGTTTTAGAGAGAGAAGTAAGTGCGTTTTAGGAAGAAAGATCTGGAGTTAATTACGGTATATGTTTTTATTACATGGTACAAGATTAGCTGCTTTTTTATAGCATCAAGAAATTTGTAGATTCTAAAACGGATGTCTGTGTCTGGTTGTGCACTATTACTAGTATAAATACGACTTCAGGCTAGGTTTCAATTGTGTTTTTTATATGAAAAGTTGCCAAACAAGCAGACGGTTTACCTGATGGTAAGTGAATACCGCCGCCCATGGTAAGTGAATACATTTACCCCATACATTTGCCACACCCGAGGGTTAAAAATGCGTTGACAACCTTTTGAAAATTGGGCTCCAGCTACCTCGTTCACCAGTCGAAACGCGAAAGTATTTGTCATACTTCCGCTTTACGCTAGTCTTCTGTGAGGTCGTGTTACCTAACCGGACGGGCCTGCACATTCGTGCAACAGCCGAGGCTGCTGCATGGCCCTACCACCGTAACAATACTATGTATGCTATGATATAAGTTCCCTTGTTCTGGTTAGTTTTTGTTAGAGTCAGTTTGTCAATGAAAAGCGTAAGGTTATTACGGAGATATATGACGCAAGGAATTCGGCATTGGGGCCACGTGGTGGACGTCTTTATATCCTATGTACAGTCCATCCCTGAGGTACATGTACAGCTTAGATCAAAATCGTAGCCCAAATGCAGCCACTAGCGGTGCATCCTTAATGTCGACCGTCCATTGCCTTCGATAAACTTACAGACAATGCCAGCCGCCACTAATTCGTGGCTCGTATGACACAGAGCAAGCAGTGTGCGCCGCAGAATCCCATTAATATCGCATAATCCCTTTATCCGGCCCCCGGTAGCTCCCCGCGTTAGCCACTTACCAAAGCTTAATTTGTAGCTATCGCAATTACCTCCGTACTTAATTCAAATTAGTTTTGCATTCGCCCGCAACGTTTCGCGGCCAGAAACGAATGTAATTGCACCGCTGTATCGACCATAACGTGTTTATGATACTAATAATGTCAACGTTAGAAACTGTGCCGCCGGCGTTAAACGAGCTTTGGTTGTAATACGGAATTTATTAATGTCGAACCTGTTTCAACACACACAGTTCGGTCGTTTAATTACGTTAATTGCGCTTCGAGGATTCAAATTGAATAACCACGTCAATAAAACGAATAAAACACGCCACAAACTTTTGTTATGTTGACATTTGTGTACGTATTTGTCAGCTTATATTTCTGTATACTGCAAAGGCATCAGAACAAATTTAGCAGCAATAATAGCCCTGCAAATATATGAAAAAAACATTTTTATTTTGGCTAAATGTGTAGGAAACTTAGAAGTCCATATAATAAGAATTTAGAGATATGCGAAATCAGAAAACCGCAGTGAGGTCGAGGTGTTCTAATACCGATTACAGAAGTTTATGTTCTAGACGTTGTAGTGAGACTATAGTACTATTTGTATAGTTTACAAAATTTTAATGTCGTGGTGGATCATCTACACTTTAGTGAGTTTTTTAAAATTTCTATACTTCAGAAAATTTCAATATCGTGGCTCAATAATGTCAGCTTTGTCTTATGATTATGAAACATGAAATGAAAAGATTCCAATGTACGGGGGCCTCACGGACCCCTTTTTACATAAAAATATTATTAAATATATTTATATAAAATATATTTATAGATATATTTATATTTTTGTCTTATAGATCATAAGACAAAACTGATAGTTGACTGTTGCTATGGGAAGGTTGTGGACCGTCATTGGATACCTTATAACATTTTTCTTGGAAAGTATTTACAAAAAATGCAATTAAGGTATTACTCTAAAAAACTAAATAACACAGAAGTCACACTCTTCCACACTGATGATTGAAAATCACGAGTATTACCTAATTTTAAAATATTTCACCAAATTCCTCGTTTACTCTGTAAACAAACAAACATATTCAATTGATGTTATAATGAGCGCCAACTTTTGCACGCATAATAATAGAATAAACAAACAATCCACACGATTCTCCTGCATAAACAACTCGACTGGCTCTCTACGAAAGATTTACGGCGCGGTTTCATCGAATATTTCGTAATCGATTCCGTCACGTTAATATAACAGAGTCGATACAGCGCGACTGCGTTATGTGAGGCATTCCGAAACATTCAATATTAAATCGAGACGGCCCTCGATAGACTCTCCATCGCTATTCCAAAAATTTAAACATTAAAATCCGAAAAACGGCCGTGAAATTTTCGCGCCGTTATTTCTGAAGCGGCATGCGACCCCGCTTATGAAAACGTCAAGAATTTTGTCATGTCGAACATTTTTCAGGTAATTCAAAAATGTTACCCTATCGAGTCTTTAATGTGCTCTTGTCCCGGTCCCACGGTTCGTGTGTTCTATCCCACTCAGCACAATTATTTGCGTGACCTATACATAATTGATACGGGTAGGTATAGGTGTTTGTTGGTGTGATGTAATGTGTGTAAAACGACCTCACAATACAGGTTTATGTTATGTTATTATGGACAATGTTCTATGGATCGGTCCGTCGTATTGGCATGAAGAAAAACAAAACACAAACAAGGCACAAACTTATAACATACGTGCGAATTACACACGGTAATGGGAGATTTTAATGCCACAATGCACAAAAAAAAGTTATTTTTGAAATTCCTTCCTAAAATTCTGTGTAGAGTGGCCGGTTGGATTAATAATCGAAAACTTTATTAAATATGTGAACTGTTTAATATTTAATTCTAATTTTAATAGCTATACAATTCTATTTTGTTTATAATGTTTATTTAAATTCATTTATAATTGTGAATAAAGGTGTTTTTCTTGACATAATTAATGACTAAAATGGTAGAAAAAGGCCGAATTGGACCGGAAGACTTTTGGTTCGATACCGTAACGGCGATAAATTTTTCGACCATTTTTCTATCAAATTTTAATGTTAACCTTAACTGCAGAGATTAGCACTATAAAAATTTAAAATAATGATTATCGTTATTATCAAAGTAGGAAATAAATAACCAACAATGATAAATATAGGCTCTGACTTTTTGTCTCTGTTGTATATGGATTTCGTATCCCTACCAAAATAAGTGCAAATATTAATAGAACAGAATCCTCCCATGAAATGCGGGTAAAATATGTATGCAAAATATGTGTTGATGACTCCGTGGCGCAGTGGCCAGGGTATTGGCTTCTTTTTCGGGAGTCGTGGGTTCGATTTCCACATAGGATAACTATTTGTGTTACCCACAGATAGTTCTTTCGCCTCTGGGTGTTGTCCGCGTGAAATTTATGTTTGTAAAACGTCCTGCCAACACAGGATAATGTTATTCTAAAGTAATGGCAATGTTTAAAAAAATATGGATATAAGTTCCAATTGAGAAAGTACTTGAATTTATTTTTAGCCGGTCTCAAAGAAGTTTGGAAGAAATGGCACACTAAGAATATCCGATAACTTCGTGTACGTCAGCTTGACGTTTCACTTAGCCGCTTCGAGTGAAATTTTAGTACCGCGACGTGTTTGCCATTTTAATGTTCGCTCGTTTCACACTGGTCGTGTTGGTCATCGCGAGAAGGTCTTGACTTAGGTCGAAGACTAAATAAATGGACATACTTATGATTAAGGAGTGATAAAGTATCTGCTTCTTGTCGAAGAAAAGTTCATGCCAAGTCCAAACAGCACCCATATCAAGGGGTCTACTTTTACCTTTTATTCATGAATACTTTCCTAAAGTAATAATGTTTCTTTAAAATAAAATATTAATAGTTCATAACTCATAGAAAAAAAGAATATTAATGTGTAATCGTATTAAACCACAAAAACACATTAAGTTCTTTATCGGATGACTTTTATTACACGGTTTATTTGTAATATACTACATACTTTACTAGGTTTCTCCTAAGCTTTTCGAGAGCGCTTTCATAATGTTCGCATTAAGTATTTTCGGGAGAACTGAAGCTTTGAGTAAAATTGTTTTAAATATTAAGACATAGAAAATAATAAATCACTGTACATAAGTTAGCAGTATTAATTTTATTTTACAATTGTATTCGTCGTATTTGCTTGCAACATTTCGTTGGTTAAATAGTATGTATTTTGAAAGCATTTTATACTTTTGGAAGAGAGCCAGTGTTATTATAACATGATCTTAAAAGTAATAGAATCCGGGCATGCATGTTAGTCGTAAGTGACATATTAAACTGTAAAGTAAATTTGAAGTCCGATGCACGATACTCTTTTTTTTTTATGCGAAAAGTTGTCAAACGAGCAGACGGTTCACCTGATGTTAAGTGAATACCGACGTCCATGGACATCTGCCACACCCGAGGGTTACAGATGCGTTGACAACCTTTTGAAAATTGGGCTCCGGCTACCTCGCTCACCAGACGAAACGCGAAAGTATTTGTCATACTTCCACTTTACGCTGGTCTTCTGTGAGGTCGTGGTACTTACCCGGACGCGTCTGCCCATTCGTGCAACAGCCGAGACTGCTGCGTGAACCTCCCACCATAATCACACTACGCGAATATAAATATGTCTGAACTATATTGTTTTTAGATATACAGAGTAATTTAAAAATTCGCGACGATTCCATAGCTCGCGATAAAATCCAAACTGATTTACCAATAATATGACAAGTAAACCGTACTCTAAAAACCTTTGTAGTCTATACAGAGGAGTCCTTTGCTCAGCAGTGGGATATAATATTATATAGGCTGTTACTTTACTTTACATTTTTATGACAAGTACATATGGCAAGACCTCACTCACCAGACGAGACGCAGCCTATCTAGTAAGAGGTCGTGGTACGGATGAACCTGTCCTTCAAGCAACGGCGCAGACTGGTGCTTTGCCCAAAAATAAACGCGATATAAATAGTTTCATTTGACGACCCGATTGGCGTAGTGACCCTGCCTCTTGCGCCAGAGGGTGTGGGTTTGATCCCCACAACTGGTAAAATATTGTGTGGTGAACATAGTGTTTTTCCAGTGTCTAGATGTTTATATATTTAAAATATGTATTTATATACAAAATAAAAGTATGTTTAAGTATGTTTTTCGGTAATCAAGTACATAGTACCTTCAAGCGTTGCTTAGTTTGGGACTAGAGAACGTTGTGTAAAATGTGTACTGAAATATTTATTTATTTATTTATTTAATGAATATACTATAGCTTCAGTTTACGGTCACCTGCGGATCGTCCTGTGAGAAAATCGCGTCGAATGCGAACATTTTGGGCGCTGCGACTCCGACCTTGCGGTCTTCTGGAGCCGAGGCGGCTGCTGAAGCGGTTTCGCATAAGGTCACCTGCTTCTTGCGCTTGTCCAGCGAGAAGGTTTGCGTGCCGCTGGTGAACGGGCCCTCGCCTGAGGCGCCCACTCTCAGCATCACTTTCACCTGAAACAATGGAAAATGAACTTTAGCAGCGGCTCGGAAGGCTGCAAATCCCGGACCCGCGCCCGAGGCGCCCACTCTCAGTATCACCTTCACCTGCAGCAATGGAAAATGAACTTTAGTACCGGTTCTGAACGCTGCAAGCTTTCGGGTTAGCTGCAGTGATGGGGAGAGCGATTTCACCAACCGCCCTCGTGGCTTAATTGTGCACTGAAGTTAGTCACAGAACACACACGGGTGAGCAGATCAGTGATAGAAGCGATTTTTCACCAACCGCCCTCGTCGTTTAACTGCCTGAAGGGTCACAGAACACAGTCGGTGCAAGGTTGTAACTCCCGGGTGAGCAGATACAGTGATAGAGAGCGATTTCACCAACCGCCCTCGTCGTTTAATTGTGCTCTGAAGTTAGTCACAGAACGCATTCGGTGCAAACATGTGTGAATCTTCAAATTATTTACAGATTTAATATAGGTTTAAATGAAATACTTCAAAATTGTTCTTCTGTCTTGCACTAATACGCTGACTGTTCAAGTATTCTATCTCATTTATAGATCTGAAAGAATCAGATTGAGTATGCAAGGAAACGTTTGATCCAGATTCTATTTTACTTATTAATGGACGTTAATGTTTTGGCCTAACTTGTTCACTTTTCCAATTTCAAGCCGACATATGGTTAGTTATGCTTTATAGTAATTAATTATATTATGCTTTATTGAAATAATAATATACAGTATACATTACAAACATATAAACATTATGTTATAGAATATGTGTCTCAATAAATAGTCTGAAAAATGATTCTGACACAAAGTTTTTACCTTTCCTCTTTTTTCCGTTAAATTTCTTATTTGATCCTTAGGCAAAGAATAAGGTTTTCAGGGTTCTGTGTTTCTTGTAAACGAATCTGACTTGTTATATTTAGTCAACATTTATACAAGGAGGCTTTTCTAAGTGTATCAATTGTTTTTTTATTAAATTCTAGACATAAATAATTTTATATAAAAATTATAAATATTTAAAATCCCTCGTAATTAATTATTTAATTGTATGTACGATAAAATATTAATGTATTTACATTGATTTGAACTTATCTCAAACAGTGCGTGATTTATGGGCAACTTATTTATTTTAAGCGCGAACATTCATAACTAACACGCACACAAGTTTGTTTCAAAAGTACACGACGCATTTATGAATGACTACCGTATTGTCAACAAGTTATGTTTTTTAGGGAATGGAATGGCAATTTTTGAAAAAAAAAAAAAAAAACAGTTTGTTTTTATTTAAAAAAAACGATTATACTACGGAGTCTGAACCTCCTGTGTGAATTTGGGCACCTTTAGAAAAGCCACCCTGTATAACCAGCAGTTTATAAAGAAACGATAAAATATGAATTATTGACTTCCGCGGCATTGAAAATAAATATAATGCTATGTTGTAGGGTAAACATTTAAATAATTAAAAAAGTACCGAACTGATTGTCTATATCAAAGGAATCCAAATAGAGAACAAATTATTTTACGCTATCAAGAAGCAATCACGTGGGGTCGTAAGCTGCTTAAAATATTGCCATGAATCCATTAAGCCGTCCAATTGCTTTCGCTCCACGTAAACAACCCAACAGCGGAACCCTAATGTAATGCGCGCGTAAATATTCCTTTTTTATCTGTGTTAAAACAATAAACGACGCGTCCGTTACTAACTCGCGAACTTGATGATAAGGCAGCCATTCAGTGATGAACCCTCGCCACGAAAGCCATTGATTGTACTTTTGTATGGTTTTATATGATACGACTGACTAATAATTTCAATATGCATCTGGATGCCTTCGATTCTATATATATGCAACCGTAGGGACGTATGTATTTTTGTACTCATGTATGGTTTCCGAAAGCGCGGATTTAATTTCAATGGGCATTTGGCTTCGCGTAGCCTTCGTGTGGCGACGTGGCCATATGGACGTAGCTGCTACGCGTGTACTGTGTAGTAGTTGTTAACTGAGCCGAATACGTATTATTACACATTGGTCAGGTGGAGGTAGTTCACCTCTCGATGTCATCATTCTCCCTGGAAAAACATCATCGTCAGACATATATATATAAAATTATAAATTTCGTGGCCAGCATGGATGTCGCAAGGCTACCTTTAGACCTTGTTGTGGTTTCGCCCCATACGGGACGACAATTTATGTGCTTGATGAGTAGTTGTTTTCCGATTAGGTGTACCGTGTTTTCTGCTTGTGGTAGCATGGGACGGAACACTTCGTGATACAAATTCCATTCAAATTCAAATATGTTTATATAAGCATTACACTTACTTATTGATTGTCAAATATTATTATGAGATTAGAAATTAAAAGCCACAGAGAACAATTACATTTTAACCATTATTTGCACTTTTTTACAGTATTCTTTTTAAATATATTTATAGTATCTTGTGCGTATCGAGAATACCAGTTAAAAATTCCTCAAAGTCTTTTCATTTTTAATTCTTGTACTTCTGTGAGAGGGCCTTTAGTGGCCACCAGCATCGTCTATAAGACCATTATAAAAAGAGCCCTTTCATACTACATACGCGTCCCTTCTACGGGGCCTGTCATGGAATGTTCGTTAATAATTCACGAACCAGGAAAAGGTAACTCTGTTACCGAGTGTTTAGCGGCCGGTTTTCCTTTATGTTTCAAAAATGAATTTCTTCATTTCACTAAAAGCCATAGAGCTGGAATAAATAAATTATGATTTATTATTTGGGGTATTATATTGAATTCTCGCGATATTGTAACAAAAATAACGTTATTTTATACTCGGTATATTTAACGGAATGATTTTAAACTTGATACTTCTTTGTTATAAATATTCTCTATGTTTGTCAGTGCACTTACAAGCTAAAATTATGATCTTATATTCTCTTTTCTCTTTTTTTTAAATACATTGCCCTTACTTTAGAATAACATTATCCTGTGTTGTAAGGACGTTGTAGAAACATAAATTTTACGCGGACAAACACCCAGATACGAAACAAGTATATTGTGGGTTACACAAATAGTTGTCCCGTGTGGGGATCGAACCCACGACCCCCGACACCGAAGCCCACCGAAGCCTTGACAACTGTGCCACGGAGCCATCAATATTCTGAAGAATTGTAATTTATTGTATTAGTAATTTGTTAGTATTGAGCAATCTCTGGAACTATTGAACCGATTTTATCTACGTTTTTTACTATGTATTATGCAACTTAACATTGATAACACCCAGGTGTAACTTTTTATATTAGCATATAAGTTCCGCGGTTTTGTAACAAATTGTGCAAAACAAGGGAAGTGCAGAAAATCAATATGCTGATCTAAAACGTATCGATTCATCTACAACAAGACGACGAGCAATTCTATTTAATTAGAGTATCGAATACTTAGACAGCACATCGTGGGAGTTTTTCATTTTATAGTAATGGCAGTCAATTGTCATTTGGTTAATTCAAAATAAAAATATCTTAGACCGTGGAGCCACACTAATAGTAAGCGTAAGTCGTACAAAACATAAGATATGTTGCAGGAATGTTGCCAATGACTAAGAGAGTGGTAGGGCCACCCAACAGCTTCGGCTTTTGGACGAATGAACAGGTCCATCCGGGTGAGTACCACGTCCTCTCAGAAGACCGGCGTGAAGTGAAAGTGTTAGACATCTGCGTTTCATCTGTGGAGTGTGGTAGACAGGCTCACTTTATTAAAAGGTGGCAATGCATCTGCATGTGATGCACATATTAAAGGAAAAGTAGTAATAAAGGCTGTCACTTCGTATCAATTCTCTGTGAGCCAGTTGTCGGGTTGTTTTGTAACCTGTTTTTACTCTACCCGTTAAGAACATAATCTAACACAGCATCGTAATAGATTATCATCCATACGTAGTAGCATCCATAGTAAAAGGCAGGCTTATTCGATGAAGTACCATTGCCTCAGAGAAGACGGTTTTATTTTGGCCTGGATGAGCCACTGTTGGCCTCAGGGGCCTTTAAAGTTCATTACAGTAGAGTACAAGAAGGGAAGACGGGCGTGAACTGGAAGTATTATACTTTCGTCTGGTAAGTGAATTTACAAGGTTTTAAAGATTGGCAACGCATCTACGACCCCATGCGACGGGAATCACTTAACAACGGTTGATGGTTGCAGACCGCTTACCAACATTTCATAAGAAACATGTTGACGCATATAGACAAGTTTAATCACTACAACTCGACTCGTTGTCTGTCTGTCTCTATGTATGCTTAGATCTTTAAAACTACGCAACAGACCTTGATGCGGTTTTTTGACTAGATAAAGTGATTCAAGAGGAAGGTTTGTATGTATAACACATTGCACCCGTGCGAAGCCGGGGCGGGTCGCTAGTGTAGTCATAAATGGGTTGGAATACTACCAGGTTTCAGAAGTTTCAGCCGACAGTTTGGTACAGCGACAAGTTTGCCACCTGTCGCATTTGGAAGTTGTTAATCTCGGTGCCAAATCTACATATGTTCAGCGGCGCCGCGTGAATCAAGTTACGTTTACCCGAAAGTATATCGCTCGGCACGTAAACGGTTCCGGTGTCGGCGCAAAACCGCGTGCTGCGAATCACTCGAGTGACGCTAACTTATCCAATCATTTGCGCCAACTAAAATAGTTTCGAGCAAGTTACGCGCAAGTGACGCCGCGTGATGTGATTAGTTACGTAATTCTGGCGGCGTCTCGCGTAACGCTAAGCGCGTAATTAGTTGGGAATTAATTGCACCTGCTTGTCAACTTGATTTAGCGCGGCGGGATGCGCGGAATTGTTTGCGATGGTTTATACCTGCGGTGTATGCTGTATAGGTAAGTGTAAGTAATGAGCCTCTGAGTTAAATGGTAAGGAGTCAAGCTTTAAGGAGCTTGAATCTTGGTTGGTGGTGAATTTTACTAGTCACCGTCAAATTCGTTTAACTCATGTGTACTATACAAATTAACATTGAACAAGAAATTTAAGATCGATACATGTTAATTCACGTATCTAAATCAGCTGTTTTTGCTTTTAAAAAATGTCATGAGAACAACTTGACGGCAAACAATGAACTCTAGTGTATTCGTTTGTATTCGCGATGTCCTATTCTAAAGAACAGTTCAGGTGATTTTTGCTAAGTTCAATTTAAATTTGACACTCGCATAATTGTCTAAATATATTGACAAATTATTATTCTTATTCCATTTTTTTCTACTATAAAATAGACTTGTTATGTCATCAGCAGCAGGGATGCATGCGACAGTCATTTCCGTCTACGTTTCGACTCTTTAGATTCCGTCACGTACGTCAGTTATTCTGTTAATATTAAATTACCAATTAGTGTATGAATGTCTCAACACGCTGTAATGTGCCGTCAATTCGTACGTGAGTCGCCAGACTAACTGCTGTTAGGCGAATTCTATTATGTCATTAGATGCTTGTACAAGCTTTGATAATTTGAGAGATGTTCCCACCAGTCGATGGAGGAGAACGTAAAATTTGTTTTAATTTACTTAACATTAATCCGAATGTGTTCATTGGAGAAGTCGATCTGCTGGTCCATTTGAACCAGTAGCATGAACTACAAGTTTCAAAAAGTTTAAGCTGTCAGTTTTGAACGATGCCAGACTTTCCACCTGTCGGTTTCGGAAAATAGCTCGGTGTTAAATGTCTATCGATGTTCGTAGAACCACTTTAATTACTTGTTACCCGCCAACTTGCCTTTATCTTCAATTGGTAAATAAAAACTAACTTTGTAGGCAAAAACCAAGCTAATAACTACAAAATAAGGTGTTTCATACTAAAACCGGTCCTCAAGGCGTACCTGTTTACGGTGGTAGGTCCACGCAGCGGCCACGGCTGTTGCACGAATGGGCAGGCCCGTCCGGGTAAGACGACCTCACAGAAGATCAACGTAAAGTGGAAGTATGACAATTACTTTTGCATTTCGTCTGGTGAGTGAGGTAGCCGGAGCCCAATTTTCAAAAGGTTGTCAACGCATCTGTAACCCACGGGTGTAGCAGATGTCCATGGGCGGCGGTATTCACTTACCATCAGGTGAACCGTCTGCTCGTTTGGCAACTTTTCACATAAAAAAAAAAACTTATTAGTAGAACTGTTATCAAAATACCCTCAAGTAAGCTCAGAATTTGCTGCAATAAATCCTACATGAAATGTTGCATTGATAAGCATACTCTGCATTATTCAGTGTCCCACTTTAAAGGAGAGAAAGCCGAGAGCAAAGAGGGTAGGGTGAAAATTTAAACTCGGTCGGAGTACTCAATGGAGCGCGTGATTTGAAACCCCGCATAATAACCTATAAGCTCGAAGGGGCGGAATGCCACAGACAATCGAGCGGCCTGGTATACCGCAATCTCTGATCATCCATTGACATTTATGTCATGTAATTGTTACTGACGGTAACTGAAATGTGACAGTGGTTGTGACACATTTGCCGCTCAATTGCCGCTGTTATTTTACGTTTGTCAAAGTTTGTGAAATGCATTTGATGAAATAACGGGAGATGTTGAAAAAAAAAAGGTTGAATATGTTTTAGACACAATATTATATTTATCGGTGGTGGAGGGGCCACGCAGCAGCTTCGGCTGTTCCACGAATGCGCAGGTCCGTCCGGGTAAGTACCACGACCTCACAGAAGACCGACGTCAAGTGGAAGTATAATACTTTCGCGTTTCATCTGATGAGTGAGGTAGTCGGAGCCCAATATTCAAAAGATTGTCAACGCATCTGCAACCCTACGAGTGTTGCAAATGTCAATGAGCGGCGGCTATCATGGCGATTACCATCAGGTGACTTGACAGCTCGCTTGTATCCCTAGAACCGTAGATAAAGATATTCCATTTATTTTAGCAGCACAACCTTGACTTTATTTTTTTACCATAGTTATAAGCCGTGTAAATTCTTTAAATAGGCACATGATGCTGCTCTAGTTGTGGAAAATCCAAGAAATTGTTTATGCGCTCACGTTTACGCTCTTGTTTTAAACTGCTCGGTTTAAAACAAGAGCGTAATACTATTCTTGTTTTATTTAATTTTATTGTTTTTTTTATTCTGGAGTTTATTTTTTAAGCTGTAACTTTTACAAATGAACTATCTTCTCGTCTTTAATAAGCATTACTGATATATTCATTTCATACAAGCGATCTATTTAAACAAATTTGGGAGACATTATGATTTTTCCATAAAGTTTGTTTTTTTGTTTGGAGATAACAAACGCATTATAA